CAGTGTCTGTGTGTGTGTGGGTCAGTATAGGGACAGTGTCTGTGTGTGGATCAGTATAGGGACAGTGTCTGTGTGTGTGGGTCAGTATAGGGATGGTGCATGAGACAGTGTGTGTGTGTGTGTTACTCTAGGGACAGTGTGTTAGTATAGGTGCTGTGTGTGTGTGTACGCTGTGGGGGGGGGTTGGGTCAGGACAGGCGGCTCCAGTAACGGAGGTGTCAGCGGAACGCGGGGCGCGTGGGCGGCTGCGCGCGGGTTTACCTTGGACTCGTGCGCCGGCTTGCTGCCGCGAGGCCGAGCTCCAGCTGTTACACTGCGGCTTCCGTTGTTTTCACGAAGACGTCTCCAGGTGGAAATGCACAAGTACCAGGTACCGCGTTTGTCAACGGGCCTTTGTTTACGTGCTTCACGTACATTAATTAAAGACACAAACAAACCATGAGCTATATTTACTCCCTACGCGCGAAACGTACAGCTAAATTTCCCTGTTTTAACACGAAAAGGCGTTTAGGCTTAATACACAAAACCCGTTTACTGATGGTTTGATCAAACACACACCCTGTCTGAGCGCCACACGGAGCAGTCTGGGGGCGCGCCTGTTCACAAAGTCTTCTGCCCCGAGTTTCAGGCGAAGGGTAGCTCGAGTCCTCACAGTCAAAGTTCTGCATTGATACTGTTTTCTGGAGAAAAATGTTGAAACTTTGGCAACATATCAATAGAGGTTTGTTGATGTTGGAAATTGTTTGATATCAGGATCAAAAACAACGAAAATACATGGAGTTTTGTTTTAGTAAGTGGTTCAGAACTGAAATGCTGGGTTTCTGAAATCAGGTTGCTCCTGTGTGTAGCAGGGTCTGAAACGTCAGGACCGGTTCTGGTCTCTCTGGGCCTGAACCTGGGTCCATTCAGCACGTTACTGTGATTCTCCTGGCTGACTCTACCCATGATGCCACGGGACACCCATCAGCCCCAGGGAGAGGGAGAGGGAGGGGACTGTGGTCAGGAAGCAATTTTTGGATTTTTTTCTTTCAGACCCAGATAAAGATCAGGGAGTTGGGCAGAGTATAGCACAACAGGAAGGGTCTTCGCTATCAGAGATGCTCTGCATAAACTGTCTGCAATAACATAGTGTACCCCAGGGGTGTCTGTACTGTGTCCAATAACACACTGCACTCCAGGGGTGTCTGTACTGTGTCCAATAACACACTGCACTCCAGGGGTGTCTATACTGTGTCCAATAACACACTGCACTCCAG